ATATGTATGCTTTCTACTCTATTTTCTTTGTGCTCTGGAAGTGATATATCTATACAAGAAATAGAAGAATTAATAAAACTAACAGAAATAAACATAAATTACAAATTTAAATAATTCCTTTGAACATTTTTTGTTTAGTACAAAATAAATAATATTTTTTTGATAAATTTTCATACATATCTTTTAATATCTACATAAATATTTGTGAGTTTTTTAGAGCTATCAGTTAGGTTAGGTTAGGTAAGATCTTAATTTAAAAATATTTTATTTTTTATTTTGTAAATATATTTTATGTAAGTAATGTAATTTTAACTGTCAAATATTTATGTTTAGTAAAGACTTAAGCTTATACCAAAGTACTGCAAGTAAAACTGTGCTGTAATTCTCACAGTTTCTCTAATTTTATTTGTAATATAATTATTGTTCTTCCAATGTTATAAATATAATTGAAAACTGCATTTAAACATAATTTTTTTGTTACAATTTGTAGTGTTACCAATATGAGTGTTGACTGTTGATCTTATCAAAACAACTAATAACATATTATCCCTATTATTTATTATAATAAATAATATAATTTTAATATTTATATTATTTATACTTTCTTTTAATCTCTTTTTAGTTTTTCTCTTTGCAGACATAATATAAGGCAATGTATGCAAACTTTGCTCCCAAACTCCTTGTCACCTTGAATGACCACCTCAGTAAATCAATGTATCTAGATGTAATTGATGATGCTGCWCTTTAAATGCTATAATGGGATCCAATATAAATAAATTTATGGTATCTTCCTGAAGAAGATTAGATGGTACTTATAGTATATCTATATAGTTAAATTTTTAAATATGTCTGCTGAATTAGCACTATATACCAGTATCATCAAATTTTATTTTTGGGCCTTATTATTGTTTTATTTTATAGGTAATTTTTATGTAATAACTAATAATATAACATTCTTACTTGTTAATCAAAATAACCCTATAATATCAGTGTATAATAAAAATGTTAATGTAGTTAACATTAATAAACTAATAAACATCATCAAAGCATAATCCAGTATGTAGTGTTTGTACACTACACATTTATGCTTAATTTTAATAAAACTTTAAATAATATATGAGAAAAAAATGTTATAAAAAAAAAAACAATGTTAATTTAACTTAAATGTGCCCCCTACTTTACTGCACCATTGGCAAGCGCCCATGTCGCCAACCTCTATTTACGGGCGTTACGGCGTACTGTATACAATGTATGGATATGTATTTAAGATGTTATTACACTTTATATGATTATAATAAAAATTGTGTGATTGTTCTTAAAAGTTATAACTTATAAAATTATACTGTTTAAACATTAAATGCAACTTTTAAATATTAAGGATGGTATCTCTTTTTTTTTGTTTTTAGTATTAAAAAATATAGCTTTATTTTTCAATGTTAGTATTTAATATTTATTGATATTATCATTTGATTCCTATGCAAGTTGATTTTATGTTAATTAATGATAATATATCAAATATATATTCCATATTCTATAATGTAACTTATAACTATAAGTTATAATAAAATATTGAGAGATAGTTTAATGACAATATTTTTATGTTCCATATTCTATAATGTAACTTATAACTATAAGTTATAATAAAATATTGAGAGATAGTTTAATGACAATATTTTTATGTGGGAGGTACAGAATGTAATTTACT